GAGAAGTACTCCTCCCTCCTCAAAGTCAATATACAGTATAACGTATTGTAAGTAACTGTATGTACAGCAAGTAATGTAAGTAGAGTATTATATTGTTAGAAGTGTAAGTAGCCCGTTTTGCAAGTAATTGTAGTTTCTGTAAGGAACTGTATTGAGTATTGTATTGGCAGTATAAGTAACCCGTATTGTAAGTAACGTAAGTAAGTATTGTAGAACTGTGTTTTGTAAATTAAAATTATTTAAAAAAAGAAAAAGAAAAAAAAGAAAAAAGAAATAAATAAAAAACAAAAAAAAGAAAAGAAAAAAATTCCTTAGATCACCCGAAGAAGACAAGAACCAACTGCGGTATTTTAAATATCATCAGCAGATTAGCCAGGATTTCTTATGATAAGGCGGTCGGACCTATTAATATTTTGAGTAGCACTTTTACCAGGAAAGATGTTATTCTATTCTTAACATTCTACACGACGAATATTTGAATTTTAAGAAAAGTTTAATTTGTTTATTTTTCCATGGGAGGAGAAACGTTTGAGTTATAAGGTAAAGGTAAAGTCTGCGTACGAGCCAAGTGGCCCATAAGGCCGGAGCTTATCCCGGTTTCTGTAGCATGAAGCGACTAGGAGTATTTCTACTCCCCCCTGGATGGGATGCTAGTCNGTAAAGTGTCTTGCCCAAGAACACAACACAATGTCCCCGGCCAGGGCGCGAACCCGGACCGCTCGATCCGGAGACGAGCGCACTAACCATGAGGCCACCGCGTCTCCCACACGTTTGAGTTATAAGGATATTTTGAAAAAAAAAAGTTATAATGATATTTTGAAAAACTTCATTTTAATTTAGAAGAAATCTAGTAACTTTTCATCAAAAAAGCTTCACTGAGACCTCCGAGGTTTTGGATGTGACCATATAACTCGTTACACAAAATCATAATTAAATTTACTCTGAAAATAAATAATTGTTTTTATTATTAACTGAGAAATAAAAATGCCCAGTGCACTATATGGGAAAAAAAGCAGCTAACCATGAACGCCATACTCAAGGTGGACACTACACCAGGCGTGTGTCCTCAGTACCCTGCTGTATGGCAGTGAATCATGGATGACTTACGCCACGCATGAGAACCACCTGGAATGCTTTCACCTTAGCTGCCTACGACAAATCCTCGACATCACATGGAAAGACAAAGTACCAAACGCTGCCGTGCTGGTGCAAGCTGGCTCCCTGAGCATGCATGTTCTCTGTCAGCGTTGAATATTCAATGAATGGGACGTGTGCACCAAATGAAGGACGATTACATACCAAAGGATGTCATGTACGGCGAACTGGCCACAGGACACCGTCCAGCAGGTCGTCCAGTTCCGCGCTCAAAGGACATTTCCAAGCGCGACCTGAAACTCACAGGTATCTACCCAGACAACTGGGAACTGCTTGCAGCGACCGCAGTGGCTGGCGCCTCGCCGTTTGAGAAGGGGTTAAGAGGGAAAAGGAATGGCGCAGCCACTAAACAGGTGGAGGACAGGAAGCAGACACAACAAACTCAGCCCTGCAATCCACCCTCCATCTTTGTCTGAAATGCCTGCAGAAGAGACTGTCATGCAAGGATCGGATTGCTGATCAGACGCTGCTTTCAAGAGGACCTGTCCTAACCGACCAAGGCGCTACCATCATCACACGAGAAAGACGGATACCTACTACCTACTTCTTCCGTCATTACCTTCATTTAGTTTCCGTTCGATAAACATGCGAAACCTTTTTTCTTTTTTATGTATGTTTGCATGCATACATGTATGTATGTATGAATGGATGTTCCACGGATTGATCGGTAAATGTTCCACGGGTGACTTCAATGAAAGTAGTTCTTTATACAGTAGCTTTCAGTTCCTACTAACTAACGCCAAGAGCAGATTTCAGTCAGAGAGAGGAAGATGATGGAAGACAAGTTAGGCTAAGTTTAAATCAACCACGCATGTGCGACTTACCAGGTGGCATTGCATATAGACGGCTACCTTGGATCGGATCCTCTTCAGTGGCCTTTTCTCCTCTCATCCCAACAGACAAACATTTAAACTGCAGTTCGTCTTTCATGTATACATTCAGTGAATACAAATGGCATTTATGTAAATATATTCCTGACTTGGCTTGCTTCTTTAGGCATCTGCATTGAAAAAAGACAATTCAAATCGATCTCGTTACTTCTAAGCACTACCTACAAGTGCTAATCATGTTAAGCTTGATTCACCTGTCAGGCTCATTATAGCTCGCCCATCGCCGTAGCTGCACTAGCATTATTTCGTCTTCTATGGAATTGGAAGCAGCAGTTTGTTTAAATGACAACTCTCTTCCTTCGAATTCTTTAAACCACAGCTCGCATTCATCTCCACAAGACAAGGAGAAAATATAGTTCCCACTCTCTGGTACCTAAAAGTTGAAATGCATTTGAATTTAGCATGTTATTGTTATTATAATTACTAATAATAACACCTTATTTTACGAGGGTAACATTGATTAGTGATGATTCAGTAGTTTACATAATGGCCCTCCCTAAGCTAATCTAAAACCAGAGAAAGGTCAATATTTCGGAAAAAGGTTGAAAAGTTAATTGTACAAAGAAGTAGCTGAATCTTACTCGTACCTTGTTTGCCCGCTACTCGAGCTGCGAAAACAGAACCCTGAGCGAGAATTGTCCTCGACGAATGCAAAGATATTTTACAAGTATGGAAAAATCTGAGAAATTTCAAAATCGTTTGTGTAATAAAACACACGGCAAAATAAAAAGTTGCCTTCTTTGTAGTACGCTGGTTTTTACCGAGACAAATCAAGAGGCTGTCCGCACAAAGATAAATCTCTGGCCATCACCGATTTTCCAATTTTTTTCAGTATGAATGTGAGCGCAATTAAGGATTCACTAAAAGTGATATTTTAAAATTCTCTCAAAATTGTAGGAGCGTTAAGGTAAGTGTAATTTGGAAAAATTTTCAAATATCACGAGAATATAAAATTGCTCGAGCTTTCATAAGATCATTCATTTATTATTTGACTGAGAACGCGCGTACGTACGTTAATTTGCGCTGCTGTTTCAGTATACAGATGTCATATTTACTTGTGTCGATTCGTTTTTACTTCCTGGACAATTTTCAAGGCAACCTGAAAACTACATAATTTGCCTTGGAAGACTCTGCAATTTAATTAGCTGTAACTGTCGCACGCTACCCAAACTTGATTCATAACTTCAACAAGCTGAATATTGTAAATGTACAAGTTTCACTTTGAAGGTTAAAGGAGGCTAACAACAGTTTCCAGCTCTTGGCACTTGCCAGCTCCTACCACTCTTGCATTCCGGAGTTTGGTAGGAGGTATTTTAGAGAATTCATTACGCAGTCAAAATTTGATAAGATACAATTGCTAAACTTATAAAGCATCGAAGAAAGATTAAATCTGTCAATCTAAAACATTCAGCTTTTTCGTTGGAATGAGAAATAGGTGCAGAGAAAACCTATACCCCCTTATGGACCCCTCAATTTTTTCTGTGAACGTAAAAAGTTGTCGTTGAATAACCTCGTCACTCGTACTTCGTCACTTCGTACTGTTTGCAAACTTTCTGTTAAGTCTTTTACTTCTGTGATGACCGATTCCCGCCAACGAATTCCCTACACTTGTACGTCAGATTACTATCAAATTGATTGATGTACTTTCCGCCTTTCACCGATAACCTTTTTCCTTTCCTTCTTAAAAAGTTTATAGCGCGAATTCGCTTTGCTCTGCGGATTTTGTGTCTGGCGCCGAGTCTGTGTTTCCATTATTTCAGTCGCTGTGATTGATTTGTCCCGTCATCTCATGAACTTGAAAACGGGCAACTTGATTACGAAAATACAATAATTTTCCTCTCTTTGACAAACGTTTTCCATAGTCATTTCATAAAAACAATAAACCACTCTTTCTGTGGGTTTACCGGCGCAATGAATCACGCGGGATGTTGGGAGAACACTCTCTAAGCTCATTGCATGTAAGTCGGCCATTTTCCAGTCACTTTTAGCCTCTTTCTCAAACCGAGTCTTGGTGCCCTTCCTTTTATGTGAAAATGAGATTTCATTCACATGCAAATTAACCTCATTTTCATATGAATGGTTGTGCACCAGGCCTCGTTTTGATAGAGAGGTTCAGGTCAAATCGGAAATGGGTTATTGAATGAGCCTCTTAAGTCCTGACCCAAGGCAAATCAGGTAGTTTTCAGGTCACCCTGAAAACACCTGTTTCGCCAAAAATGAAAAAAAAAAAATCGAAGTGATCCAAATAAATGTGATATTTGAACATGGGCTAGATTGGTTGACTTTCACTGAAAAAATAAACTAGGGAAATCGGTGAAGGTCCCAAATCTGCCTTTTCCGTTGTTACGTGGACAGCCTGTTAACGAGACACCGATCGACTGGCTGGCGTCAGTGGGATTTGTATGGACACGTCAAAAGAGCATTAACTGTACCTGTAAGTAGGAAGTCAAACTTTCACCATAGTTTTCGCTGACCTCAAAAGTGGCAGACATGTTAAACGTTGTACTGTATCCATCTGGTGGTTGCTCAAAGATTGGATTTTCGCGAAGAGTGGCAAAGCCCTCGGTGTTTACGTACCTATACCATAATTTCCTACGTACTCCATGTGTTTCAACCACAGAATCTACCAGAGACAGATTGTCAGTAAAATGAATACACTGAATTAATATATTGTTCTGTCCCGTGGTTACTGGATAACCTTGCTCAGTACCATCCATAAGTTAAGTAAGCGGGAAGAGTAACCGACACACTTTCTGGGTTGTCTGAGCTGGGACCCCAAAGTCAAATACAGACTGATTGCCATGAAAGGGAAAGGAAAAAGTTGTCACAGTATGTGTTAATTTAGAGGTATGTGCCATATCAGATGATAGGAACGAATGATTCATCTATAAATCTGGTTATGAAACAGATCAAGGCTCTTGTATCCAAGTGTTGGAAGCACGCGGGTGAGAAATATAAAGGTTGAATCATTTTGTTCAATGCCACAACTTTTCGACGGTTGAAGTTTCGTCAACTGCTTGCGCTTTGAAACTATGAGCTGGTCTCGGACCAGGATTTCAGGAAGTGCTGCGATAAGACTGTCACATTTAAAGTAGAGTGCACCTGTTTACTTGAAATGATTGTGTTCGAATATTTGCGCCAAACATGATGGCTGCAATTGTAATCGAATGTTTACTCAAACTTCATGTTTCAACATTTCTTTTTCTTGAAGTCGGATTCGGCTGTGGGTCTTCCACAGAAATTAAACTGCCGATATGGAACGAACAATATGTGCTACAGTTGTCACCTTTTAAAAAACTTATAGGCGGAAGGAAAACACTTTTCAGCTATGAGGGGTGGCGAATGGTAATCCGAGACTTGCCGAGACGCCGAGACCGTTGTTTAAAAATTCGAGACCGAGACTTAAACGATTTCGGAAAATCCGAGCCCGAGACTCAGTGCAGAGAAAACCGAGCCCGAGACCTTAATTATGCAAAACTCCGAGCCCAAGACGTGAGATTCGTGCGCTCTTGGTCGCTTGAAACTGGATCTCAGTTAGGGAAGTAGTCAACCTAATATACAATCAATAACTTGTAGTTTATTTGAACTACCAAAACAGCAGTCACAGATAAACGCTAACTATCTAGTTATACATTAACATTTCGACCTTTTTACGGCCTATCACGACCCGACTTTGAACTACTTTCGAGGTCACGCGCTGTCATCAACTTCCGGTCAGCTACAGATTCAAAAATTTCATAGCTTCTCATCGGCGATCATCCGTTAGTCTCTCGAGCTTACTACGCGATCTAGCTTCAGCTGCTAAATATTGTTTGACCTTCCGTACTGGTTGATATAACACGTTATGGACGAGGANACGCGCTGTCATCAACTTTCAAACATCTCATGGCTGCTCATCGGCGTTCATCCGTTAGTTTCTCGAGCTTACTACGCCATCTAGCTTCAGCTGCTAAATATTGTTTGACCTTCCGTACTGGTTGATATAACACGTTATGGACGAGGAGAGGGTGGAGGACAAGAAACGGCGAAAACGCAAATGTAAGTAGTCTGAATTTCAGTCGTCTCTTCCCTTTACCCAGAGGGGGGCACAGGAGAGAGTCTCTCTCCCGCGCCCCCCTCAGGGTAAAGGGAAGAGACGGCTGACATTCAGACTAAAATGTAAGTAAATTGTTAACTTTGTAATTAATCATACATGATTATTCATGAAGACGCCCGGGCTTATTATTCTCGTGTCTCCAGACATTGCCCATAAAAGATGTATTTTGACTAGCTCTTGCTATTCGTAAGCATCGATTAAGGAGGTCTACATATGCATTTGCTTGTGTGTTTGTAAGGCTTTTCAGTACTCTAAAACTATATTAGCTTGTATTTTAACCGCGCAATGAAAGACTAATGAAGCATCATAATCACGGTGATCATAATGAGCGGCTGTCATGGCGTGAACAAATTCGCCGGCAAATTATTTTATTGCACAGGCCACCTGTGTGAGTAACCGAGTAAAACGATAATTTCGACCGCGAAATGGATAAAAACCTAGGCTCAATACTGGAACAACTTTGACTAGTGTTTGTAAGCTTTTGTAGACGAGCAAGCAGCACCACTGAAAATAAGCAGACAATATATACCCTTAGCCCAACGAACAAAAGAGGTGCAGATTAACAAGAACGATTCAAAATAGAAGTTCTAAAGAGGTGCAGGTCAGCTGCTGTGAACGTTTAGTGTTTAGCTTGCTCTAGAAGGCGATACGGCGCACGACTCACGAGTGTGAAGTAACTTACCACAAAAGACGAGGAGAACAAAACGTTGGATTACCAAACACATGGTATGAACACCACATAATGTAAGTAAAGCAAATTAAGGTAAGCATGAAGTTAGTCGTTTTCTTTAAGACGACTTATTTAGAGGTTATATCTACATTTGTATTTTCTACGACCTCCAGAAGTTCTCCAGTTGACGTAGTGCTTCTTTATTGCAAAGACCCATTACAGTAAAATATTGTGTTTGTTTTGCGAAACGGTATTCTACGATAGTTTAGAATACACTGTCTTAGACACGCCGGTATACTCCAGACTACAATCGCACGTCCTTAGGCTAACCACTTAAAAAATCTAACTCGAGTTACTAGAATTCTTTGACTTAACCGGCTAAAAATACAGTCCACCGACCATGTTTTCGTGAGATTTCAGCATCAAAGAGTCCGCATGGTTATTGTCAGCGGAAACCTGATCAAATGAGCATGCGCGTGGGCTGAGTGAATATAATAAGAGAAGAAAAAGTTCCGTATTTGCCGCCGTTTGCGTAAACACCGTGCTTAATCTCAAAAACACTGACTCTGCTCGCTCAACGCGATAAATTTTGCCGGAGAACCTCTGCTAAAAAAGCAAATCCGAGACTCCGAGACCTTGCGAAAAAAAATTCGAGACTCCGAGACCGAAAGAAACACATGAAAAACGAGACTTCGTGACTCGTCACAAAAGCTTCCGAGAGTTCGAGATCGGATCAAAAATTTCCGAGATCCACGATTTTCTGGGTACCATTCGCCAACCCTGATATAGCTTATAAACCTCGTCTTCTTGCACAGAAGACTAAGCTTAACAGTAGTCTATAAAGTTCTGCTCTGAAAACTGATCTTAAGGAGTTAAATTATTTATTTTTTATTTACTGTAATTCAACATCCTCCAAACGTTCTCTAATTAAGTATCATATATTATTAAAACTTTTGAGAACCCACATTTTCAGGTAATCGATCCAATTTAGCTGCGCAGATGTAGAAACCTTTTAAAAGGCGAAGTAGTTGAACACAAAGTTGGAGAAAGACGGCGCTTGAAGGACCAAAGAGCAGTGCGGTAAGTATGCATGCGAAAAAAAAAACATTCATTTAGATAGATTTGTGGATGAAATCGTCCGCCATACTGAAGTGAAAATCTGAGAGTTTTCTTTGGAAAAGATCTCATCCTTGAGTTCATAATGGGCTCGTCACACTCAGATGAACGCTTAAACGTCTCCGCTTAACTTTGATCGACGCTGTCTCATTTTTACCTCGCTTTAGAAAATGGATTCTTTATCACAAAGACGAATGCAGGTCCTGTCAGTTTTACTTGTGATGATGCAGTGAACGCTAAGTTGATCAAATCAGTCAAATGGCCGAATGTTACGTTCCTTAGATACTATAGATAAGGCAGGGGAACAAAGGCGCCAAAAAACAATACCTGACTTTGAGCGGGACACGAACTGTGTGGGAACGGAAGTATATTTACGCTACACGTTTGAAGAAAAGAAAGACAGAAATTGAGCTTTCATTTTAGTATGAGTTGCATTTTCTACTTACTCACTAAGATTAACCACCCTCAATTTTATACCCATGCAACAGTCTATACTAATTTCTCATCCATCATCATTTTGTTAATCTCGATAGAAAAGGAAACATACAGGGAAAATTATCCTATTTCTGCCTTTTTACTCACTCAGGTCCGGTTCTGTAAATTTCAACACTTGAAGAGTGATGGCCAAAAAAATTTTAAAAAATCGGATTATTTTCGTTTCACCTGAAATTTGGGGACAAAAAATGGCTAGTTTCACGTGGGATACTTCAATGTGGCCTACATAACGACATTGCGTAAACACACAAATTTCAAGTCAAAACACAGGCAGCCCAAGCTCTCTCTATGACAAGCAACACAATATGGCATCGAATCATAAGGGTTTATATGGGATTTTCTACAAGATATCCATGGAGGTAGTTAAAAGTGAAAATTCTCAATAAAAGTAGCTTACCTTATTCCATACGCGTGTTGTTTGCTCCTGGTGTGGTTATTTTACCGATTTAGCTTGATTTAACCGACTTTTCTGAATTCCGGTTTTCCCTTCAACCGGAATTCAAAAAGTCGCTTAAATCAAGTTAAATCGGTAAAATAACCACAGTAGGAGCAAACAACACACGTATGGAATAAGTTAAGCTATTTTTATTGAGAATTTTCACTTTTAAATACCTCCATGGAAATCTTGTAGAAAATCCCCTATAAACCCTTATAATTCGATGCCATATTGTGTTGCTTGTGTGGTTCATAGAGAGAGCTTGCGCTGCCTGTGGTCACAATGGCCGACTATTGTTGAACGAGCGATTCCCATGATTTCAACCATTTCCAAAGATCCTGAAGATATTTTTGGAAGCGGACAGCAATCTTAAACTTATTTAAAGTAAATAAGAATGTAGCAATTTTACAGTTAGCTCGAAATTAGAAGCCAAAAGTTTGGGTAAATCAACCTACGTGACCGACACCACGTGCAAGCAAAATCCACGCATGTTCTTCAAATGCGACTAAATTCGCTTCAAACCGCCGTTTTTCCATTTAGAATCTCGATTAATTCTTGAAGTATGTGTATTGAATCGTTTTTGGGTTCGTAAAGCTCAGAAACTTTTGAAAAAGCTTCGTTTCGTCGAGAAAATACATTTTTAATAACGACGCGTAGTTAATATTCTACTGACGGTCGCCATGGCAGCGGAAGTGCGATTCCTCTGTTTACGCCCAAAAAAATAATCGTAGAAAATCCCAGTTTCGATCGTTTTCTGCTCTGTTTTCAAGATGTGTCTAATGATAAATTAAGGAAAATGATGTTTGGCTGCCTCAAATTTGACATGGAGAGTGGAAATACAGTTTTCTATTATTTTTTCCAACAATTTTTTTCCTTTTTTTGCAGAATTTAATTCTTCTAAAATTGCAAAAAAAAAATTCTACTGGCTTCCATGAAGGCAAACTTATTTTCTAGAAAGTATTTTTATGCTCTTTTAAATGAGATATAGCAGGTTATTCTCCTGTAAATATTTGTTGAGATATTAAATTAACAAATTATACGACATTTTTCGCATTTTTTGGGGGTGGACCTGAATGAGTTAATGGCATATACGTGTCTAAAAGCGCCTGTATTTTGATAATTCCCATAAGTAAGTGCTTAGCACGTCGACAGATAAATACACAATCTGTCGACGCGCTAAGCACTCACTTATGGGAATTATCAAAATACAGGCGCTTTTAGACACGTATCCACCTGTCCGCTTTTAGACGCGTATCCACCTGTTTGTTTGCTCTCTTTCTCAGTTGACCTGTTTTTGTTCAACATCTCAAACCAGCAATAATTGAAACTCACCCAAAGTAATGAATATTTTCTAAGAGTTTAGACCCGAAATTTCAATACAGTGTCCGTTGAAATACTTAATATGATCAATAGAAAACGAACCAAAATTTTCTTTTAATGCAAAGACAGGGTCAGTAATAATAAGATGGTTATTTGATGTCATAAAGGTAATTAACTCACATGGGACAAAGACTCAGTTTCTCCCTTCCAAAGGTTTGCGCAATTTTCATTGGAGAAAACCCTGCGCCTGTATATTAATAAACGTGGTCGTCGGCCTAGGTGTTCCTGTGTATCAGTTTCGCATTAAACAGGAAACCACAATTGCGTATACATTATAATTTCAATTAGTTCAAAGTCATAGTGGTGATATATACAGAATTAATTAAGGCTTACTGAGGAAGTAGAGCCCTAAAATAACAATGCCATACGAGAAAGTAAACCTTCTCACCTCATAACTTTTTAACTCAGATCACTCAGTCTTACTAAGAGTCGGCGCATGGAGGCATGGTTGTGTAAGGCTCAAGAGTGCAAGGAAATGTTGGCCTAGGCATCTTCAGAATAAATTTGCAGGCAGGAAATTAAAACCTCTCTTTGCCTGTTCACAAGCATGCCCGCATCTTGAAACTAGACGTCAGAATACGTCGTCATTAAAATCTCTCCTCACCTTTCACCTAGTCAAAACGCATGGAAAATGAAACTGAAGCGTATTCCTTTTTTTTCGGACGTAATGTGTGACTCGTACCGTCTCCTCAGTTTTTTTTAGTATATGGCCGAAAATTTGCACTTTACCTTAGCAATATGTAAATATGACGAGAGCTAACGGGATAATTTATTAATGGAAGATGATGTACTGCTTACTGTTCTACTTTGTATGCTCTTAGGAGGGACATTACCGGCATTGAAACCAAGTAGTTTTATATGGCTCATCAACAAATGTGCATCGTTGCCACCCTTTTTCTGCTGTTTCTCATGCTTGGCGAACTCACTTCCCAGCAATGTGGAACTGACTATTACTCCGTATATCAAGCAATGCTGAAAGGCCACACCTTCAAGAGGTTGAAGGTTCGACCGAAATCAATTGATTGCAGACTAGAGTGCAGTGTAGATGTAAGGTGTCAAAGCTATAACTACGTCATCAACGAACACATATGTGAACTTAATAACCGAACAAAGGAAGCCAGACCGGAGCATTTTGTCATGGATAACGATAGGTATTACATGAACAAAGGGCAGAAAAGAGGTATGATAACCGCGAATCACTTACTCACTACCTCTCTCCCTCCCTCCCTCCCTCACAATGTGGTCAGATATTGCAACTGATTTTTACTCAGTCTTATGTAATTGGCATCCTCCCTAGGGAGTGGAAAAAGGCAATTGTTTCTCCTGTATACAAGAAAGATGATAAATCCTCGCCAAAAAACTACAGGCCAATCTCCTTGACATGCACCTCGTGTAAAATCATGGAACATGTTTTGTGCAGCCATTTGTCTAACCATCTCGAGATCAATAATATCCTTACCCTTCACCAACATGGCTTCCGGAAAGGCCTCTCTACTGAAACCCAGCTTATCTCCGTCCTCAGAGATTGGTTGTCCTCGCTGGACAAGCGTATCAGGACAGATGTACTCTTAATTGACTTTTCAAAAGCCTTTGACTCAGTTCCCCGCCAGAGACTCACTAAAATCAACTTCGTGCCATAAATACCTTGGTGTTTTTATACAAGATAACTTAGAACTGAGACTCCCACGTAAAATCCGTTAAACACAAAGCTACGAAGATACTGGGTCTACTACGTAGAAATTTTTCCTGAAGCAGCCAGTATGTTAAGACCCAGCGTACAACTCTCTTGTTAGACCCCATGTAGAATATGCGTCCGCTGCCTAGAATCCTTTTGAAAAACAACACAGAAAAGCATTGGAGGTTGTCCAACGCTGCGCTCTAAGATTTCTCTGTTCCGATTATTCACAGTTTTCCAGCATAACTTCTACGCAGCATTCGCTGAGCTGGGACACACTTAAAGTCCGTCGACAACTAAGTGCCGCGTCCATGATGTATAAAGCCGTGTACAATCGGACTCACTTAACATTTCCAGTATCTGTCACCCTAGCTCACGGAAGCAAACGCTCTTACCACCCTCATAAGTTCAGACATATCTTTGCTCGCACTAACGCATATAAGTTCTCCTTTTTCCCACTTGTCATCCCCCTTTGGAATAGCCTTCCCATGTTTACTGTTAATGTTGGGTCTGTTACTACCTTTCAAGCGAATGCGTTGCCAACCATAAGACAATATTGTAACGCAATGTAAATATTTATATGTTGTAAACAATTTAATTTAGGTATTTATTTATTTCTGCTCCCTTTTCTATTCCGTCGCTGACTATTTTAGTATCCTGTATAGTCTCACGACTTCACTCACTCACTCACTCACTCACTGAACCGCCCACTCACACACACACCCACTCGCCCGTTCGCTTTAATCACGACTCACTCATTCACTCGTCTCCATGTCCTCTTTTGGTGTTATTGTTTCAACTCAATCTCTATTTCATATCAGTCCTCTTTATTTTCATTCCCAGTTCCCCTAGGGTCTATTCCCGAGCTGCCTGGTGATACATGCACAGAGATTAAGGCGAGTGAGGGTGTTCAAGCGGCCAGCGGTCATTACTGGTTGGATACCGCAAAATCGGGGGTTTCCATTCTAACTGAATGTGACATGAAAACGGAGAGTGAGTAGAATTGATACTTTGTTTACCAAACGGGTCTTACCGCAGTTTTTGGTGCGGTATAATTCGTGTCAAACTAATCTATTTTCAGTTGCTGACTACTGCATCAGGCATCACTGCTTAAACAATGCAACTTGCGTGAATCGCCACGTGAACTACGCGTGTGCATGCAAAGCGGGGTGGACTGGACACTATTGTGGGCAAGGTAAATTAGTATCATAAACTTTGCGGTTCTTCTCAAGAATAGCTGTGAAATCCAGTTAATTAATATTTTTCCAATTTGTTTTTTCACTTTTGCTTGATTTTTAGTGTAACAAATTTGATCATATACTCACTTTTGCTGTTTAGATATCAACGAATGTAAAGTAGGTCGTAGTTGTCATAGTAACGCCACGTGCTTGAATATCAAGGGTTCGTACCACTGTTATTGCAAACAAGGTTTCTTTGGGGATGGAAGAAACAGTTGCAGAGGTAAGTTTACTTGGCCTTGCTCCTAAAACGGCTAAAACGTGCTTGTTTGTGTGTATGAATATTTATACTTAGGTAAAGGAAATTCATTAATCAAGATCAAAAGGGGAAATGTCCTAAGGAAAGGCAAAAATGTGCTATTTTTCCCTGAAAAATCCTCAGCAATATGCGTCTCCGTGGTCCCTATATATAGACAATATTAAAAGAATGATGAAGAATTCTGAATCTGTGAAGTCACTGCCAATGAAATAGCTACCAAATCTCATGATTTCTTTGTCGAAACAGAACCGTTTCGCAAAAACACAAGTAATCATGAAACCCTGGCCACTTAGCAACTGATGGAAAATAGTAGAGGTGACATGAGGTGACACCCTGAAGTTCCGCAAAATATGAAATGTCTGTTTCGACATCAAATATTTGTGTTTCCCTTTTAATGTTTTATGTTTCTGTTTTCAATGTGAGATCTCTGTTTTGAGGATTGTCCATTCGAGTATAAAAATACCCCCTCTTAATTAATGTTGGTGCGCATATGTTCTGCGCATCACTAGACTCTCCAAGAAACTCATGACATTTAGATTAGGCATCCGAAAACAAACTGAAGGTACTTTTGCGCGGTTCGTCATCATTATTGAAAGGCTGATCTGGCCAAGTGCTGCGGACCTCTAAGGAGAAAATTGGGGGCAACCTTTTTCAGTGATAAGCAAACTTCAGTCAGGAAAAATGCTATACTGTTGTTTTGCGCCAATTCTAATACGGACTATCTGTTCGGATTTATCAGCCCGGCCTAAGTTTAAGACGCAGAACATTTTAGAGGACAAATTAAAAATTTCTCGAATGTTCTCCGAGCTGATGTTGGCTTTTGCCTTGATTTACGTTTTTAACTCTATATTTGCTGTCTACTCCAGTACTCCGGTGACAAAAGGAACAGTTACTTCTGAAGTGTTAAAGTTTCCGAGGCAGTTAAGACCGTCGAAGACCGAAATAGACCACCAAAACAAACCGTCCGGTATTGACCCTGACACGGCCCTACAAATGATTTTTAAGAGATTTTGTTTAAGATGATGATGATAGTTTAAACTTAATCACTTCATTAAATCTTCCGAATCCGTGGGCACTTTTAAAAGGCGTATTAAATCAGTTGACTTTTCTCAACTGATGTACAATACTTGTAAAGACTGTTTTCTTTGTAACAACCAGTTACCGATTTTTATTGTATATCTTCGGCATCTATTCATTTTACTTTTCTTTGTACCAGTTGTATATATTATAGGATTGTATTGTGTACTTTTATCTTGTAATGTAGTTAAGTGTCCCCAATTAGCGTACATTCTAGTACGCTAGATGTTTTGACACAATAATAAAGTGCTTACCAACTTACTTACTTACTTACTTACCTACCTGCCTACCTACCTAGCTACCTACCTGCCCACCTACCTACTAACTTACTTACTTCGTATCTTTAGTTTGCGGTGGTGGCTGTTGTCGTTGAGATTGTTTTTTCTTTTGCACGCTGTTGAGATTCTTTCCAATATTTCCTTTGTTTTTGTTATTGTGTTGCCTTTTAATTAAGTATTGCATGTTTTATCTTCTCCCGCAGACGTGAACGAATGTATGGATCCAAATTCCTGCCCAGTGCAATCTACTTGCGTTAATTCCTTTGGTTCTTATCGCTGTGTCTGTTCGAATGGTTGGAGGAACATGGATCGCCATACTTGTGTGGACATAAATGAATGCTACACAGGATCACACAGCTGCCCTTACAACTCACGGTGTGCCAACACAAGAGGGTCATACCGATGTAACTGCCTGTCTGGTTGGCGTAACAGGGGACTTCGTTCTTGTGTTGATGTTGACGAATGCTCGGCAGGTTCACACAGGTGCTCGGGTTACGGTTCACGATGTATTAACACCCAGGGCTCATACCGATGCAACTGTGTATCAGGTTGGAGAAAACAAGGTTATTATTCGTGTGTTGACATTAATGAATGTTCCGAAGGACGGTACAGCTGCCCTGCCAACTCTTACTGCGTTAACACACAAGGCTCCTACCGATGCAACTGCAACCGCTGTTTTCACAAATCTGGAAGCAGTTGTAATAGTAAGTCTATCTTAAAATCCCATGTTTAGCTTATGGTTGCTAGAGCCCTGCATCTCCTCAGTTCTAGTTTTCGTGTGGTCTCGTCTGTACTGGACAAATCTGAAATACTTCTCAGAATTGAAAACACTCTCCAGAATAAAAACACACCCCAGAATAAAAAACACACCCCAGAACTGACAATACTTCCCAGAATTGAAAACATTTCACGGAAATGAGAAACACTTGCCCAAATTGAAAACACTTCCCAAAATTGAGAACACTTCACAGGATCAAAAACACGCTCAGGATTAGACACAACCCAGAATTGAACAGCTTCCGCCCCCCCAATAAACACTCTCCCGCGCAGGGAAGCAGCTTTCCAAGCTCTAAATTAATCAAGCAAGCTATCATATTTTTTAACACAAAAGCGTTTAGGGCTATACCTCTTTGGTTAACCCAGTTTGACAGGAGAGACGCGTGAAACTGGCATTTTTTCTGCAAGCCTGAGGCTTCTTTATATCTCAGATCGAGACAAAACGTCTTAACCCCAAAAACTGGAGACTGCAACGCTTTTTTCAGGAAAGACCATTCACTACCCTTTACGACTTGGACCTTTATCACTGATGGTACATGAAACTGTTCAGTATAAAGCTCTTTGATAATATCTGAGTAAATTACCAAACCGGCGAATAATTTAGAATTTTGATTCATAAATCAACAAACTGTTCCATATGGAGCTCATTTATAACAAAATTGTGAGATCAGTGAGCCATTCCTTAAACTCTATCAAAGGTTGAGTTTGTTCGTTCTTGGAATTTTTAAGACTCAGCAGTATTAGACACAAGTTATGCAAAATTAATAAATTTCATCACCAGGAAACTGTATTTACGTTGTATACAAATTTGCAGACACACGCTCTTACTTTCCTTACTAAATTTCACCACCAGTCTTCAGGTTCATCTATTAACCATTACCGATTTCACGCTCAGCGAAAGTAAATATTTTTGGGCAGAAATAATTCATGACGAATAGCACTTGATTATAAATTTGAGCGATCTGTTTTTCTCAGTTAGAGTGAAAATTTGTGTGAAGTGTTAAGGCGGCCTGCACACTAGCCGGGCGGTTTTGTAGTCAAGCGTTGTTAACAGTTTGTGATGTTGAATTGTAATTTGGTCATTCAGATCAATTTCTTGCAGATGATTGTCGCCAAGAAACTCGTTACTACTACGTCACTACTTATACTACTTATAAATCTTATTACTCGACAAGCTGCGGCTTTATGGGATTGGACAGATGCAGAAAATCAAGGTAAGCATGTTGTGTGATGTACTATCTCGATTATGCACGACAATCAAGGCCATTTACGTGTTGTTGTTTTCTCTACCATTTCATCGAATACAGGTCGTTTTCACTGGTTACTGGACGTTCTTAAAACAAAAAACGTTGCATGAACATACCGTTTCATGACATTAAAGGCTAATTTCAAAAATTGGCGTTAATTTGAGTGAAGTTGTTTTCTTGAAAAGGGGACTTGAAGCACTCACTGAGCTGGAGTGTTGATTTCTGCGATTTAAGTTTCTAATTACTTTAACATTTCGGTCTTACTCAGCATTTTCACTTTGGTATTTAGAGTGAGAAATTTAAAAAACGTGGGTGACAAACTTTTTAAGAACTGAGGAATTGTACATTCTCTTTGGTGCTAATTTCCTTTATGTTAAACTACCTTTACACTTAACTGGGACAGTTGTTACGATGAATTTAATTTGGAAACGATAATATCAGGTGACGCCTTTACAAAGCCATATTCTATTTTTATTCCCCCAGGAGGAAAAGGAAGACAAAACGAAGGCGTGCAAGTCGTCAAGAATGGGTTGCCAACATAGGCGGGGTCAGATGCCCTTGCTCATAGGCGTAAAGTAGCTTTTTGTGCTCAAATACCCTAATTTTGCACGGTACCAATATTAAGTTATTTGCTTATCTTACTTGTATCATCCGTTTGTTGTACTGTTTGTGGTGTTAGGTTATAGAGAGGTCGACCACATTCGGAACGAGGTATCAGTTCAAACATGAAAGCCAATGAACAAAACGTGGGAGGCAGAATTTCAGCAAAATGATTCCGAAGACATTTGTGCACAGTTTAGAAAGCTTAGACAAGTTGAACTTCGTTGAACTTAGCTTGGCAGGAATATCCATCAATCATAAGCCGCTAAACTGAAGCGTAACGTTTTTGAAACGAGTATAATGTAGCTTTGGAAACGTACCTTTTGCATGGCTGTTGGATGTCTTTGACTGAGTTTTTTTCCCTATTACAATTAGTCTCTAGCTTAAAGTGCCCATAATTTTAACCTATTCTTTTTTTCACTTTCTCACCTTAATCTACAATCTCTGAAAGACGTTTCTGGGAAAAATAAAAGCGATTTGCCCAAAACACGATTTAAAAATGAAACTAGAAAGCGTTGAAATTTGCCGCCATTTTAGCTCACCATTCGCCTTAGTCTTCTCTCGATTCTTCTCGGTGACAATAGTGCTGTGACGTAGATTAAGGAACACATAGTTTTGACTTCAAGTGAACAAGGTGAGTTTTCAGTTCTGTGAGCATCACCTTTACTCTGCAAAATGCGTGAGAGATGCGTTGCAGCGATATGGTTGTCAGCGAGATGCAGTAACACTCCTAATCCCTTAATCTACTAATCCTTAATCTACGTCACATGATGTCACATTCCTGTGGTTGTGAGCCTGTCGGTCTTCTTAATCAGCGGCGAACGTGTACCGCAAAAATATAGAACTTTCAAAACTTGTAAAAAATAAATCGGGTTTTAAGCAAATCGCAAAATTTTTTCGCAGAACGTCTTTAGGTAACCTGTAGATTATCTTGATAAGCCGAAAAAAAAAGTTATAGGCACTTTAAGATCAACAAGCACACTTACGGCCATCACAAAAGATGTTAAATTGTGGCATTCCAAGAGGTGTTGGTCGAGTGCATAATGCAAAAATCCAGGTTACTGCACGGGATGTTTACCATTTGCACGAAACATCGGATACATAGACGGTTGAAAGAATAGTTATTTGTTTTTTTTTAAAAGACTAATGAAAAGTAAAGAAAGGTAGAACAGTGCGAGGTATCATGGTGCACGACTATACTCGGCAGGAGGCTGGAAAAGGGACACACATTCAGGATTTTTCGAACAAATGGTAAACGCCAAGACGAACCTGAGCACTAAAAAAGATTGACCTAATTGACTGGCTAGAAAATTGTTTAAGAAAAAGCGTGATGAACATTGTTGTTATTTTTCGTCAGTAGTAATAGAGGTGTGACTTTTTTATTGGAATTGGTGTCGACAGAACTGTGTTTTTATCACGGGAGCCCATCGCTAACGTTTGTATTAACTAACGGACCTCGATTATATTTTGGTTAGCGTGTTGTTAGATAGACATGATCACACTGCTTTCGAAGCGTTCCGTGTGTTTGTGTGCAAATATATTCAAGTGAAAATATTCCTAATTCTTTTAGTTTCGCCATAATTAAAGGGGCAGTCTCACCAAGATTTAGTGCTACTTGAAAACCCAATGAAGGTGTTGGTATTAATTGGAAACCCACTAGTGCTTGCCTAACCTTGGTAAAATGCACCGTACTAGTCACGACAGTTGTTTACAACTGTTGTGGCTACGGACGAGTGGGAAAGAAGTGGTCTAAAACTTGAAAACGTCGGGCCGACGTTTTGACAATGTTTCCTTGGAGGAAAATCGCTAAAAATCATTGATCTCTTAGAGATTGAATTTATGCCTTTTTGTCGTTTAAAGGTTATTTTGTTGATCAGTGAGTGCACCTTTATAATCCTAGCATAGTTTGCAAGAAAACGTAGGAGACCTCTGGTGATACTGCCCCTTTAACGTGACACATCAAGGTGTTACTTACTGATTGCCTTAAGGAGGTGTAGCTGCGATGTAATCGCATTTGTTTTGAAATTGACAATAAAGTTATCTTAATGACCAATGTGCAAGTTTCACTGGACAAATCACTGAACGATTTTTTACTTCAAAAGTCGGACCGTTGTATTCATCGACCACGCTGACATGGTTGTCGGTCAATTGCGAGGACTGCAACTCCTCGGAGTGTACGATATGGAGTTCCGAAGGCAACTCGGTGCTACTTCTAACAACAACGAAGTATTTTGCTATTTACATATCACGAGATACCAGATGACGCACGGACTTGGAGTCGTTCGTGACATGTCCCAACCAACACGCATAATTATTTTGTTGTTGTTGTTATTTGGAGCAAACACCACATTTCTTTACGAGAAAAGCCCCGTCTCGATGCCTGTTACTCATGTATTATTACTGAAGTCAAGAATGAACGCGCGAGAGAAAGTTCTTTACCTTAACTTTATTTGTAAATTCGGTTCCCGTTCATAATCATGAATAAACGCGGTTACTTGATGGGCAAACTAACGGCTATTTTCGAACTACAGCAATACTTTATACAACACAAAAACTGAAACAACCACAAAACTTGTGTTTCCACTTTTCATGCTCAAGAGGCCTCAATAATCACGTTTCTTGTTCCCCGTAATTTTCAGGATAGGTTGTTGCTGTTGTATTGGCCTCGATGCAGGTGACAAATTAAAAAAAATTATAGTTAAAAAATCAGAGCTACTTCAACACAAGACTGTTCCTGACCGGCAGGGGACTGGGGTTAGCCATGGACGCAGACCATGCCACGCGTCTTCCGGAAGCCAAACAAATGCTGATTTAAAACGTCACGAAAAAATGTGTCACCAACACTGCGGCCAGTCAACAGATCCCTTTGCAACTGGTCATCATGCAATGTAAATGAAAGAATGCGTGACCAACATACCATAGGTACTTACACCTCATCAAGCATAGTTTTCCATCTGCGCAATAGATAATAAAAGTAATCATGAAACCCTGGCCACTTAGCAACTGATGGAAAATAGTAGAGGTGACATGAGGTGACACCCTGAAGTTCCGCAAAATATGAAATGTCTGTTTCGACATCAAATATTTGTGTTTCCCTTTTAATGTTTTATGTTTCTGTTTTCAATGTGAGATCTCTGTTTTGAGGATTGTCCATTCGAGTATAAAAATACCCCCTCTTAATTAATGTTGGTGCGCATATGTTCTGCGCATCACTAGACTCTCCAAGAAACTCATGACATTTAGATTAGGCATCCGAAAACAAACTGAAGGTACTTTTGCGCGGTTCGTCATCATTATTGAAAGGCTGATCTGGCCAAGTGCTGCGGACCTCTAAGGAGAAAATTGGGGGCAACCTTTTTCAGTGATAAGCAAACTTCAGTCAGGAAAAATGCTATACTGTTGTTTTGCGCCAATTCTAATACGGACTATCTGTTTAAGACGCAGAACATTTTAGAGGACAAATTAAAAATTTCTCGAATGTTCTCCGAGCTGATGTTGGCTTTTGCCTTGATTTACGTTTTTAACTCTATATTTGCTGTCTACTCCAGTACTCCGGTGACAAAAGGAACAGTTACTTCTGAAGTGTTAAAGTTTCCGAGGCAGTTAAGACCGTCGAAGACCGAAATAGACCACCAAAACAAACCGTCCGGTATTGACCCTGACACGGCCCTACAAATGATTTTTAAGAGATTTTGTTTAAGATGATGATGATAGTTTAAACTTAATCACTTCATTAAATCTTCCGAATCCGTGGGCACTTTTAAAAGGCGTATTAAATCAGTTGACTTTTCTCAACTGATGTACAATACTTGTAAAGACTGTTTTCTTTGTAACAACCAGTTACCGATTTTTATTGTATATCTTCGGCATCTATTCATTTTACTTTTCTTTGTACCAGTTGTATATATTATAGGATTGTATTGTGTACTTTTATCTTGTAATGTAGTTAAGTGTCCCCAATTAGCGTACATTCTAGTACGCTAGATGTTTTGACACAATAATAAAGTGCTTACCAACTTACTTACTTACTTACTTACCTACCTGCCTACCTACCTAGCTACCTACCTGCCCACCTACCTACTAACTTACTTACTTCGTATCTTTAGTTTGCGGTGGTGGCTGTTGTCGTTGAGATTGTTTTTTCTTTTGCACGCTGTTGAGATTCTTTCCAATATTTCCTTTGTTTTTGTTATTGTGTTGCCTTTTAATTAAGTATTGCATGTTTTATCTTCTCCCGCAGACGTGAACGAATGTATGGATCCAAATTCCTGCCCAGTGCAATCTACTTGCGTTAATTCCTTTGGTTCTTATCGCTGTGTCTGTTCGAATGGTTGGAGGAACATGGATCGCCATACTTGTGTGGACATAAATGAATGCTACACAGGATCACACAGCTGCCCTTACAACTCACGGTGTGCCAACACAAGAGGGTCATACCGATGTAACTGCCTGTCTGGTTGGCGTAACAGGGGACTTCGTTCTTGTGTTGATGTTGACGAATGCTCGGCAGGTTCACACAGGTGCTCGGGTTACGGTTCACGATGTATTAACACCCAGGGCTCATACCGATGCAACTGTGTATCAGGTTGGAGAAAACAAGGTTATTATTCGTGTGTTGACATTAATGAATGTTCCGAAGGACGGTACAGCTGCCCTGCCAACTCTTACTGCGTTAACACACAAGGCTCCTACCGATGCAACTGCAACCGCTGTTTTCACAAATCTGGAAGCAGTTGTAATAGTAAGTCTATCTTAAAATCCCATGTTTAGCTTATGGTTGCTAGAGCCCTGCATCTCCTCAGTTCTAGTTTTCGTGTGGTCTCGTCTGTACTGGACAAATCTGAAATACTTCTCAGAATTGAAAACACTCTCCAGAATAAAAACACACCCCAGAATAAAAAACACACCCCAGAACTGACAATACTTCCCAGAATTGAAAACATTTCACGGAAATGAGAAACACTTGCCCAAATTGAAAACACTTCCCAAAATTGAGAACACTTCACAGGATCAAAAACACGCTCAGGATTAGACACAACCCAGAATTGAACAGCTTCCGCCCCCCCAATAAACACTCTCCCGCGCAGGGAAGCAGCTTTCCAAGCTCTAAATTAATCAAGCAAGCTATCATATTTTTTAACACAAAAGCGTTTAGGGCTATACCTCTTTGGTTAACCCAGTTTGACAGGAGAGACGCGTGAAACTGGCATTTTTTCTGCAAGCCTGAGGCTTCTTTATATCTCAGATCGAGACAAAACGTCTTAACCCCAAAAACTGGAGACTGCAACGCTTTTTTCAGGAAAGACCATTCACTACCCTTTACGACTTGGACCTTTATCACTGATGGTACATGAAACTGTTCAGTATAAAGCTCTTTGATAATATCTGAGTAAATTACCAAACCGGCGAATAATTTAGAATTTTGATTCATAAATCAACAAACTGTTCCATATGGAGCTCATTTATAACAAAATTGTGAGATCAGTGAGCCATTCCTTAAACTCTATCAAAGGTTGAGTTTGTTCGTTCTTGGAATTTTTAAGACTCAGCAGTATTAGACACAAGTTATGCAAAATTAATAAATTTCATCACCAGGAAACTGTATTTACGTTGTATACAAATTTGCAGACACACGCTCTTACTTTCCTTACTAAATTTCACCACCAGTCTTCAGGTTCATCTATTAACCATTACCGATTTCACGCTCAGCGAAAGTAAATATTTTTGGGCAGAAATAATTCATGACGAATAGCACTTGATTATAAATTTGAGCGATCTGTTTTTCTCAGTTAGAGTGAAAATTTGTGTGAAGTGTTAAGGCGGCCTGCACACTAGCCGGGCGGTTTTGTAGTCAAGCGTTGTTAACAGTTTGTGATGTTGAATTGTAATTTGGTCATTCAGATCAATTTCTTGCAGATGATTGTCGCCAAGAAACTCGTTACTACTACGTCACTACTTATACTACTTATAAATCTTATTACTCGACAAGCTGCGGCTTTATGGGATTGGACAGATGCAGAAAATCAAGGTAAGCATGTTGTGTGATGTACTATCTCGATTATGCACGACAATCAAGGCCATTTACGTGTTGTTGTTTTCTCTACCATTTCATCGAATACAGGTCGTTTTCACTGGTTACTGGACGTTCTTAAAACAAAAAACGTTGCATGAACATACCGTTTCATGACATTAAAGGCTAATTTCAAAAATTGGCGTTAATTTGAGTGAAGTTGTTTTCTTGAAAAGGGGACTTGAAGCACTCACTGAGCTGGAGTGTTGATTTCTGCGATTTAAGTTTCTAATTACTTTAACATTTCGGTCTTACTCAGCATTTTCACTTTGGTATTTAGAGTGAGAAATTTAAAAAACGTGGGTGACAAACTTTTTAAGAACTGAGGAATTGTACATTCTCTTTGGTGCTAATTTCCTTTATGTTAAACTACCTTTACACTTAACTGGGACAGTTGTTACGATGAATTTAATTTGGAAACGATAATATCAGGTGACGCCTTTACAAAGCCATATTCTATTTTTATTCCCCCAGGAGGAAAAGGAAGACAAAACGAAGGCGTGCAAGTCGTCAAGAATGGGTTGCCAACATAGGCGGGGTCAGATGCCCTTGCTCATAGGCGTAAAGTAGCTTTTTGTGCTCAAATACCCTAATTTTGCACGGTACCAATATTAAGTTATTTGCTTATCTTACTTGTATCATCCGTTTGTTGTACTGTTTGTGGTGTTAGGTTATAGAGAGGTCGACCACATTCGGAACGAGGTATCAGTTCAAACATGAAAGCCAATGAACAAAACGTGGGAGGCAGAATTTCAGCAAAATGATTCCGAAGACATTTGTGCACAGTTTAGAAAGCTTAGACAAGTTGAACTTCGTTGAACTTAGCTTGGCAGGAATATCCATCAATCATAAGCCGCTAAACTGAAGCGTAACGTTTTTGAAACGAGTATAATGTAGCTTTGGAAACGTACCTTTTGCATGGCTGTTGGATGTCTTTGACTGAGTTTTTTTCCCTATTACAATTAGTCTCTAGCTTAAAGTGCCCATAATTTTAACCTATTCTTTTTTTCACTTTCTCACCTTAATCTACAATCTCTGAAAGACGTTTCTGGGAAAAATAAAAGCGATTTGCCCAAAACACGATTTAAAAATGAAACTAGAAAGCGTTGAAATTTGCCGCCATTTTAGCTCACCATTCGCCTTAGTCTTCTCTCGATTCTTCTCGGTGACAATAGTGCTGTGACGTAGATTAAGGAACACATAGTTTTGACTTCAAGTGAACAAGGTGAGTTTTCAGTTCTGTGAGCATCACCTTTACTCTGCAAAATGCGTGAGAGATGCGTTGCAGCGATATGGTTGTCAGCGAGATGCAGTAACACTCCTAATCCCTTAATCTACTAATCCTTAATCTACGTCACATGATGTCACATTCCTGTGGTTGTGAGCCTGTCGGTCTTCTTAATCAGCGGCGAACGTGTACCGCAAAAATATAGAACTTTCAAAACTTGTAAAAAATAAATCGGGTTTTAAGCAAATCGCAAAATTTTTTCGCAGAACGTCTTTAGGTAACCTGTAGATTATCTTGATAAGCCGAAAAAAAAAGTTATAGGCACTTTAAGATCAACAAGCACACTTACGGCCATCACAAAAGATGTTAAATTGTGGCATTCCAAGAGGTGTTGGTCGAGTGCATAATGCAAAAATCCAGGTTACTGCACGGGATGTTTACCATTTGCACGAAACATCGGATACATAGACGGTTGAAAGAATAGTTATTTGTTTTTTTTTAAAAGACTAATGAAAAGTAAAGAAAGGTAGAACAGTGCGAGGTATCATGGTGCACGACTATACTCGGCAGGAGGCTGGAAAAGGGACACACATTCAGGATTTTTCGAACAAATGGTAAACGCCAAGACGAACCTGAGCACTAAAAAAGATTGACCTAATTGACTGGCTAGAAAATTGTTTAAGAAAAAGCGTGATGAACATTGTTGTTATTTTTCGTCAGTAGTAATAGAGGTGTGACTTTTTTATTGGAATTGGTGTCGACAGAACTGTGTTTTTATCACGGGAGCCCATCGCTAACGTTTGTATTAACTAACGGACCTCGATTATATTTTGGTTAGCGTGTTGTTAGATAGACATGATCACACTGCTTTCGAAGCGTTCCGTGTGTTTGTGTGCAAATATATTCAAGTGAAAATATTCCTAATTCTTTTAGTTTCGCCATAATTAAAGGGGCAGTCTCACCAAGATTTAGTGCTACTTGAAAACCCAATGAAGGTGTTGGTATTAATTGGAAACCCACTAGTGCTTGCCTAACCTTGGTAAAATGCACCGTACTAGTCACGACAGTTGTTTACAACTGTTGTGGCTACGGACGAGTGGGAAAGAAGTGGTCTAAAACTTGAAAACGTCGGGCCGACGTTTTGACAATGTTTCCTTGGAGGAAAATCGCTAAAAATCATTGATCTCTTAGAGATTGAATTTATGCCTTTTTGTCGTTTAAAGGTTATTTTGTTGATCAGTGAGTGCACCTTTATAATCCTAGCATAGTTTGCAAGAAAACGTAGGAGACCTCTGGTGATACTGCCCCTTTAACGTGACACATCAAGGTGTTACTTACTGATTGCCTTAAGGAGGTGTAGCTGCGATGTAATCGCATTTGTTTTGAAATTGACAATAAAGTTATCTTAATGACCAATGTGCAAGTTTCACTGGACAAATCACTGAACGATTTTTTACTTCAAAAGTCGGACCGTTGTATTCATCGACCACGCTGACATGGTTGTCGGTCAATTGCGAGGACTGCAACTCCTCGGAGTGTACGATATGGAGTTCCGAAGGCAACTCGGTGCTACTTCTAACAACAACGAAGTATTTTGCTATTTACATATCACGAGATACCAGATGACGCACGGACTTGGAGTCGTTCGTGACATGTCCCAACCAACACGCATAATTATTTTGTTGTTGTTGTTATTTGGAGCAAACACCACATTTCTTTACGAGAAAAGCCCCGTCTCGATGCCTGTTACTCATGTATTATTACTGAAGTCAAGAATGAACGCGCGAGAGAAAGTTCTTTACCTTAACTTTATTTGTAAATTCGGTTCCCGTTCATAATCATGAATAAACGCGGTTACTTGATGGGCAAACTAACGGCTATTTTCGAACTACAGCAATACTTTATACAACACAAAAACTGAAACAACCACAAAACTTGTGTTTCCACTTTTCATGCTCAAGAGGCCTCAATAATCACGTTTCTTGTTCCCCGTAATTTTCAGGATAGGTTGTTGCTGTTGTATTGGCCTCGATGCAGGTGACAAATTAAAAAAAATTATAGTTAAAAAATCAGAGCTACTTCAACACAAGACTGTTCCTGACCGGCAGGGGACTGGGGTTAGCCATGGACGCAGACCATGCCACGCGTCTTCCGGAAGCCAAACAAATGCTGATTTAAAACGTCACGAAAAAATGTGTCACCAACACTGCGGCCAGTCAACAGATCCCTTTGCAACTGGTCATCATGCAATGTAAATGAAAGAATGCGTGACCAACATACCATAGGTACTTACACCTCATCAAGCATAGTTTTCCATCTGCGCAATAGATAATAGAAGCTGCCACCTACTTTGGAGCCCAACAACACCAAATCTTATAAGCAGCCCCTTGGCACTTTCATAATCTAATGAAAACTTTGTGCTGTCCCGGGTGCCGTTACCCTGGGTCCTAGAGGGCTTTTTCTCTCCCATTTTACTGTTTGGCTTGATCTGTGAGCCGTGAAGCCGCGAAAAACCTGTGGCACCCAGGGTAGGGCGCCATTAAGTGTAATATGCTGATCAATGGTGCATGAAGACTATATTCCTAATAAACGCTGTGGCAGTGCTATTTGAGGTACGTGGTGGTGTTGCAGGGGAATCGCTGTGTTTAGAGATTAGGAGACCAACACAACATACATAATTAAACAACAGTTACCTCAAGGAGAAACCTCGCTACCAGACTTAAAGCAAAAAGAGAGCCAAATACGGAAACAAACCTCGCACAAAACACGAAGAATTCCTGATAACTATTTTCAGCCAGAACAGAGCATGACACGAACTCTGCAGAGTACAGATTTGAAGATTCTAACAATCCCTAAAATATTAATCAACATGACCTACCACTCAACATGACAACATCCACTGGACATCACACCAGCTATGACATAAAAAAAATTGAAATTAAATGAATTATATATGAGATTGGCTCTGCTTATGTACAATAAAATGGTTGCTACTCTTAACGCTATGAACAAAGTCGCTACCAGCAAACGTCATTTAATATTAATTATTCGCAAATTACCTTCCGAATGCAAACTTATGAATTTATCGCTCAAGCACCTTTTAAAGCCACGACACTGTTTTAAAGTTGATCACGTGTCGAGGCAAGTGGTCACGTAAGTTAACGCATACCATGTAACGCAATAATTAATAGGACACACGAGCGCTGAACGATCTCGTCCCATGGGCAACTCCATCTCACGTTCACCTGGCAGATTGTTCGCGCCCCCTGTTCTCCTCATTGGGATGTGTTCTCACTGGCTAGGGCAGACGGGCTTGGGAGTTATCACGAAGCCGAGGATACTTTACACTGGCCTTTTCATAGTTTCCCGAAACGAGAATATATAGTAGGATCACAAACACCCGAAATTAAGAAGCACATATCTTGACTATCACGATGCCTAGAGATATCCAATCTTATAATTCATATTATATTGATAGACAATTTCTTCTCATCTCGATACGCGGCCAGCTAAACACACCCTGAAAGGTGCATTACTACAAGCCTTGTAACATCACTGAAAAATACAAGGAGTCAGCAAACGAACCACACAAACTAAGACGGATGCCGTGAGCTTAAGAAAGACAACAATGTAAACTAAGACAGAGGTCAGACAAATTGTCAGCTACAGTGGAAAAGTCAAATGCAAAACAGAAGTGAAATAAAATGAGTAGGTCAACCTGAGCTTCCTTGTTCCTGCTTTGGTGATCAACTGGCAGTCAAAGAGCTGCACTCGTTTTACCTAATGACAGTTACTGCAATTAAAAAGTATTTATTATTACAACGTTTTACTTCTTTTCCGCGTTCTAAGATCAAACACTAGCTGACAAGCCAGCAAGCTAAGTAGTAAGCTTCGACTCAGTCGGACGTGGACTCGAAAGAACACAAGACAGATGTACATTTATATGTGTTATT